AAAACACCCACGTAAAATAGTAAATGTTTTAATTCTTTAACATCTGTTAATTTCTCACTCTCTTTAATAAGTCTTTGGCTTTTTTCCATTAGAAGCAAAAGTACAGGTTTCTGTCTGTTTCATTAGCTTTTATTCAATAGTACATACCTATTACTGTTTCCACTGGAAACAAAATTTGCACCAATGCAAGTTCATTTTATACCCATTATAAGGCAGGAGGGTTAGGTGGAATGCTAAAAGGACCTCCTTAAAAAGCAGTTTGACAAAACCACCATGAAATACCACTTCAGGATAGGTATAATCAAACAAACAGAAAATAACAAGGATTGGCAAGAATGTGGAGAAATTGGAACCCTCATCCATTACTGGTGGGAATTTAAAATGGTACGGTCACTGTGGAAAACAGTTTGGCAGTTCCTCAATAAATTAAACTTAGAAATACCCAGAAATTCCACTCCTAGGTATATATATCAAAAGAGGTAAAAACAGGTACTTACACAAAAGTATGTACACAAATGTTCATAGCAGCACTATTCACAATAGCCGAAAGATAGAAACAATCCAAATGTGCATCAGCTGATGAATGGATAAACAAAATGTGATATATCTATACAATGTATGTTGAAAAACACCTTGCCATCGAGTCGATTCCAACTTATAGCAACCCTATAGGACAGAGTGGAACTGCCCCATAAGGTTTCCAAGGAGCAGCTGATGGATTTGAACTGCCAACCTTTTGGTTAGCAGCTGAGCTCTTAACCACTGTGCTACTAGGGCTCCAATTACTTAGCCATAAAAAGGAATGATGTACTGATATATGCTGCAACATGGATGAACCTTGAAAATAATGCGACATGAAAGCAGCCAGATATGAAAGGCCACATATTGTATGATTCCATTTATATGAAATATCCAGAATAGGCAAATTCATAGAGACAGAAAGTAGATTCGTGGTTGCCAGGGTTGGGTTGGGGTGGGGTGGGAAAAAAGGTCCCCCATGGGTATGGAGTTTCCTTTTAGGGTGATGCAAACTTTCTAGAACTGGATGGTCACAGAACACTGTGAATGTACTAAATGCCACTGAATTGTACCCTTTAAAATGGCTAAAATGGTGAATTCCATGTTACATGAATTTTACCACAATTTTAAAAAAAGACAGCTTGATCCGAAAGACAGTGCCAGGGACTCTAAAGATAGTGTTATAGGGGGAGCCCAGCACATAAGGAACAATGATGTCAATTTCCCAAATGAAAAGCTCTTAATAAAATTAACTTTTATACTTTAGACTTTCCTATTCAGATACTTTCTATTGACACTCTTGTCCAAGAAGCTATCCAAGCCTTTCATGACAAGGAAGAAGTCAGTGAGGCCCTACCAGTTCAGCAAGAAACTGAAGAAAAGGATCTTCGAGGTTTACAAGACAGTAATGAAGAAAGCCAGGCAAGTGGAATTTTAGTTTTCTTTTCTGCATCTAGTGCAGTAGAGGAGACCTGGTGGTACAGTGGTTAAGTGTTCAGCTACTAAACAAAAGCTTGGCAGTTCAAATCCATCAGCCACTCCTTGGAAACCCCATGGGACAGTTCTACTGCATCCTGTAGGATCACTATGAGTTGGAATTGACTCGACCACCACAGGTTTGGTTTCATGGATTTTTAGCACAGTCGAGATTTGAAGCTGGATGGAATCTACAAGACTTTTAGACCAGGGGTTGGCAAACTTTTTCTCTGAAGGAACAGGGAGTAAATATTTTAGGCTTTGTAGGTCAAGAGGCAAAATTGAGGATATCATGTAGGTACTTATACAACAAGAGAAAAACTCCCGTCCAGCGCCTCTCACCCGTTTTGACTTGCAGTGAACAGTCCAGGGTGATGAGACCAATTTGTGCCCAGTTTCGGTCAGTTGGAGACATTCTCCTGATGAAAGAGCCACTGAAACTAAAGGGGTGCAAGGAGGCTGGAGTGTATATGTGGTGGTGGGGGATAGGAAGGTTGGGAGGAACTCACCAAGTTGTCTGTCAACTTCTGATCTGAGATTCCACCACTCGGGGCTTGGCAGTTGCCAACAGTAGAGCCCCAATGTATAGGTGATGATAAGTGGTTGCCTGGGGCGGCAGCTGCAGAGGCAGGTACTGGAGTGGAGGGGGTAGGAGTGGGGGTGGGGGATGCCCAACTCTTTCTCCACAGCTCACAGTATAGCCCATTCAGCTATGGGCCACATTTAGCCGACAAGTCTATATTTTGCCCACCTCTAGACTAGTATGTTGAGATTTTTTTTTTCCCCTTTTGGTCTCTGTACGATCATATGCATAACACAGTCCCCTCAGTATTGCATTTTGTCATACTATTGCATGAAGGTTCTAGGGGGATAAATAGACAATGTGGCCCCACCTTGAGAACCACTGATATAGTCCAGCCACCTCATTTTACAGAGGAGGAAACAGAGACCCTAAGCATGACTTGGTTTCTCAGGGGCATATTGCATATTGATGGCTATGCTGTGATTGGAACATGGTGTTCCCGATTTTTAATTCAGTACTCTCACCTACCTTATGCTGTCTCTGCAATTGAATAAATTAGCAGATCATTTACATTGGCTACAAAATAAATACCATTTAACTATGAATTCTGAAAATAACTGGGAGAAGTTTTCTTCATTGTGTGGTATCTCTTCTTCCATGTAGTAGTACTCTTTCAATTCTAATCAGCAAGTTGATAGATAGTGTTGTGTTTTTTATTTATTTCCCTATGGCTGTGACTGACACCTCTACATGTTGTTTATGAAATTGTTCTTTCTAAGGTGCTTTTTCCTAAACTCTACCTCTTTCTTAGCATCCATTGTGTAATCAAAATGGCATTTGCTGTATTTTACACAGTAACTGAGGGTCATTTGAAAGACAGATTACACCACACATTATTGGTGTTTCTATAAGAGAAATTATCATTAAATTTTGTTTCTTTCTCAAAATCATCATTTAGGACTAAAGTTTCAGTCATTGGTATCACTAATGTTACAGATATAATGGTATATTTTTCTCAAACTCTTATAGAAATAAAATTAGAAACGTTAAAATACAAGAAAGTTAAAATATGTTCCTATTTGTGTGTGTATGTGTGTTTTCTCCCCCAAAGGATCAACAAAATGTATTTTCAAAGGGACCTGTTTCAAGTGAAGCATTACCAGAAACTGAAGGTAAAACTATACTTAGTACACATGATAGAAAACAGATCATGCATCATTTGGACTAGAGACAGAGACAGACAGACAGACAAAATACATGTACGTGAGCACAAACGTGCAGGGGAAGTGTTGCATAGTTGTCTACATGGTCCTTTGGCAGAGGAACAAGACAAGCACAGAGGTCCCTAACCCTTACCTACTACTGCAGAGTAAGAGGAAAATTGCAAAGGAATCTTTTTACCCTTCTGTTTTAAGAAGTTGTCTATTTTTGTTGTTATGGAAACAAGCAGGATGAATCACCCTCATTCTCCCTGGCTTTACAGGGAGGTAGAATATTCTCGTTTCTTCTCACTGTGCAGGTCTATGTCAGTACTATGTTCATTGCATTGAAGGATGCTGCACAGTCTGGTCTCTTCAACCCACCAGAACAGTGATTCCTTGGATGAAGCCAAGTTTATTCCAACCTTACGCAAAGAAATAGAAAGAAGCTTCCCAAAACTGATGAAACAATATCTCCCTTGCGATCTGGGCTTTTGTCCTTCAGACCCTTTGTAGACCTGTAAAAGAAAAGCAATATTAAGTCTTAAATGTCTCTTCTGTTTGAAGTAGTGAAGCTTTTGCCATATTAAATAGTTTCTAGCACAAACCCAGATCCTCCTGTGACATCATTATTGTCATCACCACCAGACAATGTATAGATTTAGTATGAGCTCAAAACTCTACCAGAGGGGTTGGTTTTCTCATATTTTAAAGGGAGATTGTCTGTCCCTTCTGCCAGTTATTTGTTCCTTAAGAGATAACTTCTCATTGATTTTTTGAAACTATTGTAAGTACTTACATGGCATAACAGATGGGTCATTGGATCCAACCATGGATCTGTTGTGCATAGGGTCGCTATGAGTTGGAACTGACTTGATGACTCCTGACAACAACAACACATGGCATAAATTTTATTACCTAAGTCTAATTTAATATCAATAGACTCTAAAACTTATTTTTTTATGTAGAATTTAACTAAAAACATCTCTGACTTCTAGAGTTGTCTGCTTTAAGACGTGTTATTTATAATTTGATAACCCAGGAAGGTAAAAGTGTAGGGAGTTAAGTTTTTAGCAATATTTTTGAGAAATTTGCCTTTTTTTTTTTTTTTTGCAAAAAGAGTATGCAAACTATGTTAAGCTATTTCTAATGATAATATTATGAGCTCAGGCCATCCCAGAAAGAAGGGTGTGGGAAATGCAAAGCCCGCAAAGGCCAAGTGTGGAGTGAAGGCAAAAGCCATGTAGTGGTAATTCTATTCCTTTCTTCTGCTGGGCATCTCAGGCACAGCTGGATCCAATGATCCATCTGTCCAAAACCATAGAGGTTCAAATACTGACCTAGTTGTTGGTTGTAAATACTGAAACTTTGTTCTTATTACTTTTCTTATTGCTAGATACTAATGAAAGACCAAAAGCTGAAGAAGTCAAAATGAGTGATAGTTTCTCCAAAGTAAGTGCTCTAATCTAATTTCGGCCACTAGTATTTTGAATGTGTTACGATTCATGACCTCTTGGTGTGTCTTCAAGTGGAATGAAATAACCATGTACTTTTCTTCGGTTTT